AATCAGGATAGGTGGTCCAAATGCAAATATATTATTGACAAACTGTCATTTTGAAATGATTTTACACACTTGAAATGAGCAAATCTTAAAAAGTAGATTTAATCGATTATATTCTCTTTTTAACAAAAAGCTATATTTACAGTTTTTTTTTTAATTTAAATTTATTCAGTGGAATATAGATAAACAGGATGTATTTTAAGTAGTAGTGGTATTTTCAATGTTCATTTTTGGATTATTAATTCTATTTTCACTTCAATGTGCAAGCAAAATATGCTTTTATCATTTTTAAGTTAATCACGTTTTTAAGGCCTCAGGAATGTTCTTTACACACAGACATTACCTGTCAAAACTACATACAAGCTGATAATTGTCCACATATTCACACCCAGAATAAGCAGTGTATTTTAAGGCAGTGTATCCGATTTAAGATCTTTATTATCGCTGAGACAGGGCAGCATGTGGATAAATGTCTTGATGGTCCAAGCTTTCAAAAAATGTTGCCATTTATTTTGCAGATATGCATCCCTGCACAGCCACCAGACAGGACTGCAGATGACACAGCTAAATACAATTGTTTTCCTACTTCTCTTCTCCTTCCCCTTTGCCCCCGAATCTTCCCTCTTTTCCGCTACCTCCTCCAAATGTTCATTTTGAAGACGTACTTTTCACTGGGATTAAAACAGGGCTTGCATTTAAAATTTTCATTTACCAAACAGGAAAATATTTTACTAGAATGGAATAGTATTAAGGAGAAATGATTTTCCGTGTGCCCTGAGGCCTGGCCTAGACAGGATTTGATTTGCTATGTTCGTCTGGAATCTGGATTGATACGCAGAGATGAGAGGGGGTGTTTAATAAAATTTACATTTCATTTTCTCACTTGACACCAGTCTCCTGTCACTCATGGAACTGATGGGAATGCTGCAAATAACTTTTGTCAGAATCTAGTTTTAGAAGCAGACTGGGGAATGAGGAGACAGAAAAGAGAAGAAAAAAATGACAATCTGGTTTGTTTTCATCTTGTGGTTCCGGTGATGAAAACAAATCCATTGTGGCTGGAGGACCTGAGAGCTGGCTGCCTCTATGCTGGAAAGAGCAAGTGTGCTGTGCCGGTGGGAAACCTGGGGAAGACAGGTGGGAACTGATGTGATCCAGCTGCCCACAGGGGATAGTTGTGCTGTCAGAGGAGAATCTATGGGTTGAATGAGGAGTTTAAGTTTCTGGGGGACTGGAAGTGATTCATGTCTGCTGAAAAAGAGATCAGAAGCCATCCAAAGACAGGCACAAAGACAGAAGAAGACTGAGTTCCACTCCCCACCCTGCTTTTTCTTCAGTGAAACCATAGTGTCTGTATTAGTTTTCTATCACTGAGTGACAAATTACCAGAAACTTAGTGACTTAAAGCAATAATCAAAGTAGAATATTATTCAGTCTTAAAAAAGCTGGAAATCTTGTCATTTGCAATAACAAGGATGGATCTGGAGAACACTATCTAAGTGAAATAAGCCAGCATAGAAAAGCAAATTATGTATGAATTCGCTTATATGTAGAATCTAAAATAGTCACACTCATAGAAGCAGAAAGCAGAATGATGATTGCCAGTGGTTACGGGGAGAAGAAAATGGGGAGATGATGGCCAAAGGGTATAAAGTTTCAGTTATGCATCATTAATAAATTCTGAAGAACTACTATATAGCATAGTGCCTACAGCTGACAACACTAGATTGTAAACTTTCTAAGGGAGTCAGTCTTATGTTAGGTGTTTACTACTTTCACTACTACTACTACTACTACTACTAATAAGGAGGTAAGAGGAAACTTTGGGAGGGAATGGATATGTGTATGGTCTCGATGGTGGTGATGCTTTCATGGGTGTATTCTTATCCATTAAATTTGTACAGCTTTTTTACATGTCAGTTACACCTCAAAAAAGTGGTAAAATATTCACAGCAACAACAAAAATGCCACCCATTTTTCACCTCTCAGTTCTCAAAGTCAAAAGACTGCAAATGCTCAACTAGATTTTCTTCTTAGGGTCTTGCAGGATTTTCCATCAGAAACCAAGATCTGCTCCTTCACTCCATTGCTTATTGAGAAGCTGCATCCAGTGACATTAGAGGAAATCAAGGAGAGAAGTCTTTACAAAAGCCAAGAGAGAAAAGTGGTCCAAGAAAGAGGAAGAGAAAGTCTGGACTAGATGCTCCCGAGATGTCATGTAAGATTAAGATTGTTCTTGAGAATTGGAAATAAGGAAGTCACTGGTGATAGCCCAAAGAGTGGCCTCTGTCCTGTGGATGGGCCAGAGGCATTTTGAAGTGCCTGGTAGAGTGAATGAAAACTGACAAAGTAATGAAATGTGGGAGCAAAATTCTTTCGAACAATTAGGTTGGAATGGGAGTAGAAAAATGGGAAGAGATCTGAAAGAGTCTAAAGAGTCAAAGAATGTTTGCTTTTGTTTTATTGTTTTTTGTTAAATGAAAGTTACTTAACCATGTTTGACAGTCATGAGAATAATTTAGCAGATATTTTTTGATAGAGGCTGTGGCTCCTTGTGAATAAAATAAAGACATGTAGAAAGAAATTCTAATGAGAAAATTTGGTATTACTAGCCCAAATTTTCAACACTTCTAGAGTTGTCAAACTGTAGATAAGCACACAGGATTATTTGTTCATCCCCAAGTTTTAGAAAATTGTATAGCATCTAATTTCTCAGGCCACATCCATTATTTGCAAATTGAAGCTCACAGTCTCTTGACTTAAGGCTCTATCACAAGAATTAGAGTCTCTGAAACCTGCCTAACAAGTGTGCTGTGATAGCTGGTACCAAGTCAGCCCTTTGTGTTCGGGGCTATAACACCACTTGGTGTGGGTTTAGAATAAGTTCTTGTGGAGCTGGGGTGGAAGAAGTACACAGTGTCACTAATCTGGGAAAGTGGGGGAAAAATATCCTGTGGGTACTTCTCAGTGCTATAGGAATTTGCTGGGTTCACTCTTGACTTAGAGTGAGCATTTGCTTCTCCAGTGTTTCCTTTATATGAATGATAGGGAGACAGCTCTTTTATATTTGAATCCTATGGAGAGATGCTGAGCCCATAGTCATATACAAGTCCTTATAGACTCCTCACATAGATGGGACCCTAGGTAGCATGGCTTGTATGACATTCGAGGGACACTGTGATAAGAAAGCAGATTTATTCATACTCTGACTTCTGTCCACCATGGAACATTTCTTTCCTCACTTAAAGACTTTCTTTTTTCCTTTTATTCCTCTTTGGCCTCTCTGGTCCATTCATCTTCTATTCCATACCTTCTCTTTCTTCTCCTGTATATTTGTCTTACTTCACCTTCAAGGACTAAGAATTTCCTTACCTCTGAGTGAACTCTAAAGAGATTGCTAACCTTTGGTTAATCATAACTTGGAGAAAATATTTTAAAAATTTGTTTTAGTAGTAACATGCCTTTATAGAAATATTGAGATATAAAATAGAAAGTGCAAATATATCCATATTACCTATCCCATTCCTTAGAGGTAAGTAACTATTGTTTTCAAATATATATTGGCTGTCTCTCCATAACCTTTCTATACATAAATAAACTACAGGCAAAGCATATTACATTATTGTTTTGCAATTTGATTTTTGTTTGTTTTAGCCTAAAAGTATATCTTGAATACCTTTCTACATAAGTCATTCTACTGGATGACTCTATTATTAAATTGAGAAAAATTTTTAAAAGAAGCAAATGCAATCCAAACAAATTACCAATTTTGCTTTGGATCTTTGTAAGAGTTTTGCATCTGACTGTTTCTTCATTATAAAGTGGAGAAAAGAGTGGTATTTCTACATGTGTCAAAAGGAAATTGACTCTCTTTTCCCTTTATATTATAGCGACTAATTTTGAAATAAAATATATGGTAATAATAAACGAATCATCATTTTGAGACTGAAATAAGAGAGGATATAGAAACCATCAACTCTTCAAATCCCAGTAAATTCTGAAAAGTCCTAAAAATGTATTAAATGAATCTTTTGTCTCAAAACAGGCCAGATTGATGAACAGAATATACTTTTTTCTTGAATTGTTCTAAGCAAAGAAATCTCCAGTCTTTTTGAAGTCTAAAAATAGCAAATGCTAGAAAAATATTTGTAAACAGGCAAAGCTCTGTATTGTACCACTTAAACCTCATTTAACTTTATAATAATGTTTTTTCTTTCTTTCTTTCTTTCTATTTTTTTTTATTTTTACAAATTACATTCTGGAAACGTGATTTGTCTCTCAAATGTATCCTTAATTATTCACAGTACTATAGTGTAGGTTGAAATCAACTGTTCTATACTCTGTAAAATTATTCCTTCTGTTTATAGCTCTTTCAAAATTGACATTCATACATTATAAATTCTAGAAACAAAATATGAAATAAATGCATGAATTCTAAATCACAGAATTAATTAAAATCCTTTACTGTTATTGATGTATACAATTTTATAGAAGCTTGATTGAATGCTATTTGCATGTGATTTACATTCAATTTCCCCATACTCATTTTGCATAGAGTTTACATACATTTCAATGTATAGTGATTTTATACATTTGAAGTTAGACTGCTAGACAGAAGAGAGTCATTCAGCTAAACAATCATAGAAAGGACTGGGCCCCTGAGGGAGCTAAAGGCCTCATTGGGCAATTATAAGGGCAAGTCTGCTGCAGGATGAAACTCTAGTTGGATTGGCTCAGTCTCTGTCTGAGAGAGAATGAAGTTCTGTCAAAGTCTGATAACTTCCCTGAACACAACCCCCAAAACTCAAGAGATGGTAAAAAGAACCCAGCTCCTTTCATCCTTTTTTCTTAATTTTAACACCCCTAAATATTTACAAGTATTTTTTTTAACTCTCTAGAATTTTCGTTTGTTCAGTATCTTGAGAGAAAAGAGTCCATCATACATAGAAAATCAGAAATGGAAGGCAGGGAGAGATTCTTTGAAATAATACGTGAACAAGATATATTTTTTAAATTATTTATTTGAATAAAGGATTGTTACTGGGTGACCAATATTATGGTCTGAATACATTTAGGGTTGGTCTATAGTGGTATTTTATCTAATCAGCTCATCTCCAGACATGAATGAATAAAGAGTTATTTGCTTCAAGCATTTACCCAATTCTCCCATTTTTTTGAGATGGAAAAAGAAGACTGGCTTAACTATGGTTTGGGTGATTCTGTTCAGACTGTGAGATTTCATGCCACATGCCTTGCGAGTTACTTTGAATGTTTCTGGCTACTGTTCAGGCCCAAGGAGTCAATTGTGATGTCAGGGATCTCAGACTTTGCTGGAGGTAGAATGAATAGGTTGATTATGGTTATCCCTAGACAGAGAGATAGGCTTAATCTTATCTCCTGGAAAAGTCAGTCTTTTGGTACATGGAGGATAAATAAGAAGATAGTAAAGATTGAGAAAAGGGCAAAAAAAGAGCAGAAATAACAGAGCTGGTAGATGACCCTTTTGAAGGGTAAAGTAGGATGAGGAGTCATGGTTGACCTCTAGATTTCTGGTCTAGTGCAGGGATGTGCTGCATTGTATTAGAGAAAGCATGAGGAGGAGTAGGCTTTAAGGCCATATTAATTCATAGTGCTGTGGGACAACCTAGTAGAAGTTCTCAGTAGGTAGCTAAATATATGGTATAGAGCTCAGGAAAGAAATCTAGGCTGAAATTCAAGGTGGTAAATGAAGTCACCAGAGTGAAAGGGAGAATATGTAGATAAAACCTCAGCTAAGACTACTATCATTTTATAATACTCAAAAACCTTAATTTCTAAAATGTTTTTGTACAAAAAGATTAGAGCTCTTCAAAGACCTACTATATGTAGTAAAGATTGCAAACAGAATTACTTCATAGACCAGGAAGCTACAAAAATGAGACAAAAAAAAAAAACAGGTTATAGCAGAGAATAAACTAGAGAAGGCATAGTCTGCTTAAGCCATTCAAGTTATTTTGTTGTTGTTGTTACTTTTTTAAACACTGTTAGTACCCAAACAAAGTATATCGACAATGAGGATTTATCCTGCAGGCAACTATTTTGTACCTCCAGAGTAAATTTCTATAGGCCAGATTGCCCATTAATGCCTTCCTTAAATACAGACAGCCTGGATTAATATCTTTTGAAGTATACTAACTCTGTCTCCCTCAGAATCCAACATAGTGTCACAGAGAAGGCTGCCTTACTCCTTTCAGGGCAGCTTGAAGGTTTAAGATGTCCACAAGATAAATAAAAAAATGGACAAAGAGGTTGAGAAAGTTTCTGTTAACTCATGGCAGGGTGAAATACTTCCCACTGATGCCCTGCTGATGATGACTTTCAGCCAGTACCTTCTATGGGGCTAATACAAGGGCATCGTTATTTAAAATTTTACAAAAGAAAAGTGTATCTCCTTACTCTGTTCTAATTCAAACATAGAACAGCCCCTTAATCTTTCAGAGATTGGAAAGTCCTGGTTTACAGTAGAGAAAATCTAAGAGCAAATTCTTTTTGGAAATTCTCCTCACCTCCGTTGTCTTTGCTTTACTCCCTTGAAAATGTAAAGACTTCTGGAAACAGAGCCAGGGACAGAGTCAGGATGTTTAAATTATCCTTTAGTGTGAACACTGATGGGCCCTGTGCAAATGCATGGATTAGGTGGAACTGCCATTAGCTTCTTTACCCAACTTAACACCAGTTGACCCTCTACTCTGGTCTCCATTAGAGACTCTAGCACAGCTTAGAGAAGCTGCACTTGATATAATCTCTTCCTCACCTCCTTGTGCAGGCTCTATGAATTATCTTCTCCAAAAAGCAGTTCCTTGATAAATAAGTTAGCTGATAATTTACTTGGCCACTTAGTTATCTCTGGTCTCCCAATAGAGTTCATTTTTTTTTTTTTTAATTCCAGTTGTAAACTTAACCTAGTTACTAACAGAAATAACTACTGAAAAATAACTTTGATTCATGAACAAGTTCCTTCCAAAAATTTACTGTTTTTGAATCTTTGTCTTTAACTAAAATTTCAACAAACCCATGAGAATATTAATTGTCTTGTATCAATACTCATGAAATGTAGACTTGATATGTTTGCTTTACTGTGGGCTTTCAATAATGATAAGATTTAAACTATGAAATAAAATCGACTTGTAAAAAACCAGGAAGTTGTCTTGTGATTGGAAGACAAGTTCTGACAAATCTCCTATCATTCAAATGTTCCTATAAGATAAATGTTTTGCTGCAACACTGCGGGAATAACTGTAGCAGACCAGACCTTTGCATGATCCCTTAATAAGAAAAGCCCAAAGCACTAGGTGTGATCATCCTAGAGAAAGCTTAATAACAACTCCTACTGGTATAAATCAGTATTGAGTCATTATTAAGAATGGTGAAATCAGGAAGGTAATTGGCTTAAGTTAAAAAACAAATACAAAATTAACAAATATTTGGGAACCTATTATTTGTCTAGCCCTGGCCTCGGATCTATGATACATACAAAAGATATATCAGACACTGTTTCAATCTACAAGCAATTATACGATCGTCTTCCATTCTAAAGTTGAAAAAAGAGAATTCAGAGTTCCTATTCTCCCTTCTTAGCCTCCTAACAGATCAAGCCTCGTCTCCTTTACTCATTTTCCAGAAATATTTTGAACATTCTGACTTTCAGCCCAAATGCCCACTAGGCTGCTTGATCACAGCTGTTCGTGAATAGCTTCTGCATGTACTGAATGAAGGCAGAATGCCTCGGTGACACCACAGGAGGCTTTCTTCTCCTGAGAAAGCCCCAAGCTGCCACCGTCCTTGCCCAACTGACTCTGGTCCTGCAATTGTTGCCTCTCCTGTGGGAGGTCTCGACAGAGCAGCAGCAGCTGATCTTGGCCTGCCAGCTGGTATCTGAGCAACTGTTCTTGGGCTTCCTTCCAGTCCCCAGTCTCCTGCACGTAAGTCTGCTGAACAGAAGGGCTTAGGGCGCAGGTGTGCCTGTGGGAGGTGACACCGGTAATAGTGGGAGCAGGCACAGCAGCCCCTTCTCGGCTGCCACCCTCTTCTTGGACAGCACGGCGGCTAACCTTCCTTCTGGACACTCCGTTTAGTGACTGGTGGGGGAGTTCGTTCAGCTTGCCCAGCATGACCTTCATCCTCATATCTATGGAGAAAAAAAGGAGGGGAAGAAATAGATTTAGCTCTCAATCATTTGATTATATATGGTGCACATTTAGTGTCCCTGAAAGATATTGCCAAATAATTAAAGATTGAGTCTTATCCGTTTATCGATTTACAAATTTTTAAAATTTTTTCTAAAAAAACCCACTGTATGCTATGCCCAATTTATAATTAATATTATGTAATAAAAGTTTGATTATAGAGCTTCCCAGAGAAACATTTTTATGATGTTGATAAGTCAACAAAGATTTTTTATTGTAAGCCTAACAGCATAAATATGAAAACTAGGCCATAGTTAGGCCTTACCAAGTAGGTTAACAAACACTCATATCGAGAAATGTGAGCTCTAAAAACCAGTTTTATTGAATTCTTTGGCTTTTATGCCAAATTTACAATTTGAATATCTTCGATTTTATAAAAACATGAAAATAAACATATGTAGAGGTAACACAAATATATAGATAAGCATGTATTCATATGAGTGTTTACATATGTGGTTGTGTAACAGCTGAAGAAATACTGGACTGGAGATACAAAATTAAGGTTCAAGTTTCCCTTCCCCTACTGTTTGGCCCTGTGACTTTCATTTTGTCACTTAACCTCTCTGAGCTTCAGTATAATTTCGTATCACTCTTAGGTGCTACTTAACAATTTACTAAAATGCATTTCATTTTAACAACCTTAATTATTGTTCTCTCCCCTTGACATTTATTTTCCTAATTCGACAGAATTAATATTCAACTCAGAAGCCTGCAACATTGGTATTGACAGAGGTAATAGATGATTTGGGCATTTTTGTCCTAATCCATCCCAATTCTTTGAAGGATGTATTACATAAGCAATAATACCACTAGCTTTTAAAAATGCGATCATGCTACATGTAAATGAACTAATTAACCTATCATGTTACTTGAGCAATAAATGATGATGAACTAGAACTATATAGTCTTACTGATACAATTGCATCAAATCTACCAAAACTGTTGTTTATGGTATTTAATATATGAAAGATGGTCTCTAAAAGCTACATGTCACAGCAGCTAAGAATACATGCTTGGAATCAAACAAATGTAGTTTGATGTGCTGCTTGATTCTTTGCTTGATGAATAAATGTGTGAATTGTAGTTAGGCTCTGTGTGCTTCAATTTCCTCATCTGTAAAACAGTGACAATGATAGTATTCACCTCATAAGACTGTTTGAAGGTTAAATAAGATGAATCATGCAAAGCACTGCCCAGAGCCTGCAATACAGTAAGGACTGGATAAATAATAACCATCATAATTCAAATCACTAATGCTCAGATAGAACTCAATACTGCCAGGCAGTCATTTAATCCTCTTAGCCACCTGAGATATTGTGATTTATGATAAGAAATCCTTTTCTGGCACAGAATTTTTGAAAACCTTAGAATTCCCTAAGTGATAAAAGCAATAAAGATATCTTTTTGTTATGTTAATGAGGTGACTTTGGACTTCACCTAAGGATGGGAGCTGGTTGCCAGGAGAAACGAATCATGTGATTAAAGAAAGGGAACTGCCAGTCCCACCCTTTGACCTTTGGGGAAGAGAGAGGGCCTAGGGGTTAATTCAATCAATTACCAATTGCCAATGATTTAATCAATCATGTCTATGTAATGAAACTTCTATTAAAACCCGACAAGACAAAGTCCAGAGAGCGTCCTGATTGGTGAACACGTAGAGGTGCTGGGAGACAGGCATGCCTGGAGAGGGCATAGAAGGTCTAAGCCCCTTCCCCACACCTTGCCTTATGCATCTTTTCCACCCATTTATTCTGGAGTTTATATCCTTTTGTAATAAACTGGTAACCTAGTAAGTAAAATGTTTCTGAGTTCTGTAAACTGCTCAAGAAAATTAATCGACCTAAGGAGGGGGTCATGAGAACCTTTGATTTATAGCCAGTTGGTCAGAAATACAGCTAACAACCTGGACTTGAAATTAGTATCTAGAGTCCATGGAGGGGTCTTTGGAAACTTCAATCTGTAGCTGGTTGGTCAGAAGCATAGGTAGTATAATCTGGGCTTGCAACTGGCATCAGAAGTTGGTGTGAGGAGTGAGGGGCAGTCTTGTAGGACTGAGCCCCCAACCTGTGTAATCTGATGCTATCTCTGGGTGGATAGTGTCAGAATTTAGTTGAATCATAGGACACCCAACTGGTGTCTGGAGAATTACTTGGAACTATGTAAGAACCCCTCTCACCCCATATTGGAATTAAGTCTCAGAACTATTTTATCACCCCCTGAAGCTAGTCCTATTACTGTCCTCACTTTACAGATCGGTCTCTGGGTCACAAAGTTCTTAAGTGTAGTAGATAAGGGATGCAAACTTAGCTAGCCTGTCTTGGACACCATGCACTTAAAATATCTTCTAAATATGATTCCGTAAGTATCTTTTTTGACTAAATATGATTATACAAGTATCTTTTCTTTCTACAGTTTACAATGATAAAATGTACCATGAATTAATGACCCTATATCTCACAAAGATAGAAACATTACACAAATTTACATTAAAATTAACAAATAAGAACTATCAATAAGAAAGACCCTAGATGTCTAATTTTAGGGTATCTTTTTTCCTGTTTGCTTATGTTTTTCATGTACAATCTAGTCTCACCAATTTTCTTAAATGTCACCTCTTAGTTTGATTTGCATTTATTTTACAAATACCTTCATTGTCTGAAGGTTTGAAACATTTCCATTTTCAGAAATTTCAAAAGTTCCTCAGATTCAGTATCTCAAAAGAATGAACTTGCCGAATTTTTCACAAATCCTACTCTTCTCTTTCTTTGCCTTATTTCATTCATGTAATCTCTTTTCAGGTACTCAAACTGGATTGTAGGAGGACTCATTCTGAGCCTCTAGAGATTCTTTGCTGGAGTACCTGTCCATTACTCATTAGTTTATTAGTTCATCTATTCATTAATTCACTATTTAGTGAGTACCTACTAAGTGATAAGGCTGGGAATATAGCAATGAACAAAAAACAGTCCTAATATTATGGAGTTTATGTTCCCATAGTACAGACAAATGTAAACAAGAAAGTACACGGAGCCTGTACTAGGCCCGGGGATAATAGGGCTCCTAGAAGCATGTCCCCTATTCTCCAGGACTCCAAGAAATAGACCTCTAAGCTGATTAAGGTTAAAACCTTATGCTAAGTGGTTAGAACCTTATGCTAAGAAGTAAGTACTAGGAAAGACAGAAAGGGCATACTTAACTTTGCTTGAGAAGCTACGAAGGTTTCACAAAGGAGATGATTTTTGAGTTTTAAAGGACAGTATGGTGAGAAGGCACCCCAGTATAGAAAATAGCATATGTAAAGATAGGGCAGCAAGAAAGAAAAAGGCATGTTGGGGTCCCTGGACAGAGCTCCACACTGAGAACCTAGTGTGTGTATTTCAGTGTGGATATGTATGCAGGGTGGGGGTTGGCAAAAAAAAATAATGTAATAATACTAGATAGAGGCCAAAAATAAAGCAAGGGGTTTGAAAATCTTACTAAGGATTTTAGAATATATCTCACAGAAGATGGGGAGTCCCTGAAAGTTTTCAAGTAAGGCAGTGACATATTATTTCTCTCTTGGAAAAATAGCCTTTCTATAATGAAGAAAATGAACCGTGAGGACGCTAGAGAGATTAGCTAGAAAGCTATTGTAGTGTGAACAAGACATGATAAAGAACAACAGACCAGAGTTAAATATATTTAAGAGCTGAATAGAAAGATTCTAGAGATGGTAAAACATGGGTAGAGAAGAGAAGAAAGCTACTATTTATTGAACATCTAGGTACAGGTCATAGACTTTAGTGCTATCCCCATTGATAGATGAGAGATTAGAAGACTGAAGAGATCTTGTAGTCTAGAGAAACACTATATTTCCACTGCTTCAGAAAAAAACCAAAACTTTCTTTAGTGCACATAAAGATAAATCAATTGAAAATAAAAATATTCCCCTTAGGCTATAATATTGTTACCTATACAACATCCTGGTGGTTGTAGGTGCTAATGAATATTTGTCGAATAGTATGATAAATTAGCATAAGGACTTGAATATATTTTACCTTTTCCCCCAATAGATTATAACCTTCTTGAAAACTTGGACTTTCTCTTAACTCTGCTTGTATCTTCTATAGCAACTATCTCCCTGTTAATTAAATACTGATATCACATACTTTCTTTTTCTGTTAAGAGCAGCGTTTAAAGAATTAGGGAGTTTTTTCAGACCAGGTATCTGAAAAGGCATTTCACAGCAACAAAGGCCCTAATTTCACCTTCTGGCTAGTATTCTTCAAGTGTGAGTGTGTGCGGGGTGGTGATGGGATTTCACTTGCACATGTGCCCAGGACAGTGGTTAAGAGTAAAGGTTTTATAATCAGACAAACTACTGAGACCGTTGTCTTTATTATTATTATTAGTAGTAGTAGTAGTAGTAGTAGTAAAATGCCTGCTTTGCTATCTCATAAGGTTGTCATGAGAGCAAATGAGCTAAAACATGTTTGGGTACCTTGTAAATTGTGAAGGTCGCTATAAAGCTCAGCTGGTGTGTTGTGATTTTGTTCTTATTGTGATGATGATGAAGGTGATGATAATGATTACTGCAGGAAGAAACAAAGGACCATTCGTAGGAGTATTTCATGGAAATTTAATGTAAATATCAGCTTAAACATTACAAACATTGTTTTTAAAAAGTATACTCTTTTCTAACTTCAAAATTTTAAACTCTTTTTAGCTGATTTCCCAAATATATATCCTTTAAAGTATTTTATATCCACATAGTGCTTTAGTCTCTGGCTGCATGCTACTCTAAGCCCGAATGTTTTCTTTCCCCTGATTACCTCATTTTCCACCTGTAAGAATAATCGTAAAACATACTCATCTTGAAATATTTTTTCCATCCTATTTTTCAAAACTCTCTGCTTTCTTTTATTCATATCCCCAAATATCTCACTTCCTTTAGAAAAGATTT